ATTAGGAAAATTTGCTGTTGGGGACCACTCCAGAGAGCTAAGGAGTAAGGATGTCAGTTGAGAGACTAAGGTGCACCTTGTTCCAGGCCATGGCCTTGGCAATTACTTGCTATGCATCAGAAAGGTAGACAATGACGAAAGAGGACAGAAGAAGAATTGATGCCTTTGAGTTGTGGTGCTAGAGAAGAGTACTGAACATACCATGGACTACTCTTTGGAGGCAAGGATTTTTTTTTAATAATTTTAATGAACATTTACAGAGAATTGAGATTTCCATTCATTCATTGTGGAGGCAAGGATTTTGAGGCTCTATATCACCTACTTTGGGCATGTAGCCAGGAGGGACCAGTCTTTAGAAGGGTTGAGGGACAGCACAGAAAAGCAAGACCCTGGATGAGATGGATTGACACAATAACTGGGGTAATGAGAGTAAATGTGTCAGACACAGTGAGATTGGCGCAGGACAGAGCAGGGTTCAGAGCTATTGTGCATAGGGTTCGCTATGAGTCCTAGTCAGCTCGACAGCACATCTCACAACTACAACAGCAACATTGTAAGCGTAAACTATGTGTCTAAATATGAGCTACCCCATTTTAACTTGTTTGCATAACACTGTGACCATAAAATATTCACCCAGTAATTGGCTGACATTTTTCTAATTAAGGGACTTACTTGTCTTTGGTATGGTGATAACCCTATCTGAAAGGGAAAAGGCAGAAATAGAGAGAATCTTTATTTAGTCTTTATAGTATCAGCCTTTGTATTCCCTGCCCACTTCTCACCCCCACCACAAAGAACTCTTTGTCTCTATGGATCTTTGGCAGAACTGCAGGTGCCCATGACAGAGACTCCCCAGGACTCTACTTCTGTCCTCACAATCAAGGTGCATCTTTTCTTCAGAACGTCTCCGGAATGTAGCCCTTGTCACACGCACAGCTGCTGCCTAGTTAAGCTCGTGTCACACTTTGCCTGATAACTGATTGTGCTCTCGTGATTTTCACTCTGTTTCACAGATTGTTGTTGTTGTTGTTGTTGTGTACCATTAAGTCAGAATCAACCCCTAGCTGACCCTCTAGCAGGTTTTCCGAGCAGTAAATCCCACGGGAGAAGACTGCTCACCCTTGTCCCAAGGACAGGGGAAGTGAAATCTTGTGATTTTTTTCACCCTGTTTCACAGACAGACGATGCGAGCCCCAGTGGCAAGAATATGCACTGCAATCCTAGAGGTATGCAGTTTGAATCCACCAGATGCTCTGCTGAAGAAGGAGGGGCAATCTCCTCTTGAGCCAGTCAGATCCAATTTGATGGTACACACACACACAAAATAATGAAATAAAAAAAAATATGTTTAGTACAGAAAAGCCAACCTCATAGTGGTTAGATCCCATGATTCCTAACTCAGTACAACATTGACCTTGATCCACCAACAATGGCCAAATCAGGATGTTAAAGATACCATACAACCCTCCCTGTGCAGGACAGGTGGCACCTGGCCAGTATCTCAGCATTACCCTTCTCATTATCCTCACAACTTGAGGTAACACTTTTCTCAGCCCCACAAGTAAAGTGCTCCTATAAACCAGATGCTCCCGTTCTTTGAAGGAACACCCACTATCTTTTCTAAGACTCTGCACTACTCCTCAGGTAGAGAGAAAGCAATTCAAAGCACTAAAATGTGTTTAAAAGGGAGCCCTGGTGGTGTAGTCCATGAAGCATCTCCTGCTACACAAAGGCAGTGCCTGGCTGGCGGCTTGAATCCATCCATCTCCTCCCATGTGACTGACAGCCTTCTGAAAAGCCGCTGCAGGGTCCACAGTGACCCGGTTCTGTCTCCACAGCAATGAGTGAGTGAGGATGTGGAAAGAAGGTGTTCTGATGATGTGCCTGGAGGTGCTCAGGGAATTTGTAGTAAATTTCAAACAAAAGAGGATATAAAATTAATCAAGAAAAGCCAATAACCTTCATCTTGCTGGTAGATGTTATCAAGGCAACTGGCTCAGAGCGACCTTCTGAACACAGACCTGAGCCCCGCCCTGTCTGCACCATGTCGGTCCTGCTCGAGCCATCGTGGGAGCCACTAGATCATGTTAAGGGTCTTCCTTCTTTCATTGACCCTCTGCCTTTAGCAGCATGATCTCTCCCCACCCCCCGCCCCAAAGACCGATTCCTTCTGAAAATAGGCCAAAGTCAAGGGGACTGCTTCACCATCCTTGCTCCTCCTTCAACACAGAGTTATTTGATCTTTTGGCAGTCCATGGATAATACAGAAATGTAAAACTAACAAAGCAAGGAACTGATACACGTATAAACAGGCATGTGGAACAAAGGACGTCAGGCACAAAAGAACACATACTGCATGCTTCCACCGACAGCAAGTTCTAGAACCGGCACCTTAACATAGGCAACAAAGGGCAGGAAAGCCTTCGGCCAGGGCAGTGACTAGAAACGGGCAAAGGGGAGTTGACTGGAGAGCTGAGGATAGCTCTATCTTGGCCACAAGTAGTTTAACAGAGGGGTTGGCAGTTTGAATCCCCCTACCATCTCTGAGAGGCCTTGGGTGAGGAAAGGTGATTCACTTCCATAAAGACTCGAAAGCCTGCTGCCAGTCTAGGGCATCTGGCTCCGCACGACTGGCTGTGAACCTTCACCGAAGCAGATCACCTTTCTGTAAGTTAAGAAAGAGAAACCCCAGGAGCTCTGGTGTCCTAGTGGCAAGAAGCTGCGCTGTAATCCTGAAGGTGTGCGCTTCAAATCCACCAGATGCTCTGCTG